TTCATCTAAGGAAGGAGAGGTTTCCACCAGGAAAATTTGGGAAATTGAAACCAAAGGTTGATGGTCCATTCAAGGTGCTTAAGAGAATTGGAAAGAATGCTTGTGAGATCTTGCTGCCTGAAGATTATGGAGTCTCCCCAACATTTAATGTGGTTGATTTAAGTCCTTATCATAATCATGTTAATGAAACAAACGAGGAGTTGAGGGCAAGTCTTTTTCAATTAGGGGAGATTGATATGGGAGTGCTTCATTTGCAACAATAAGCTCTTGTTGACCTTGCTGATATTATGGCTCACTTAAATATGACAACTCATGAGCATATTCCTTAGACAAAATTAAAGCTGTTTCAAGGTACTTTTCTTTATGACCAAGGAATGCATTAAAGGAGTTAGTTACCAATTGTAAAACACTTAATTTCGTAATTCCCTATGTATGAAGGGTTGTTTCATGCATTAGTACTTATTTTGGTGTTTTAGGGTTAGAAAGAAGTTTAGAAAACTAATGCTATTGGCAGAAGCTTTCTTGGAGTCCTCTCTTAAGCTTTGTATCTCTTGGATGCTTCCTTGAGTGTTGAGTCTTTTATTTTCAGTTCTGTATCTTTGTATATTATTCTTGGGGTGGTGAACTTTTTGTATCCCTTTATGATTTTAAACTTGGTGGTGAGCTATTTTTTGATTTTATTAAAGTATTATTGTGAGTTCGTTCATTTTTTATCTGAAAAACTTATTCCAGTAAATACAACTATACTATCAGATTTCTTTCAAAATTCATTCTACATTACACCTCCCTCCCCCCCCCCCCTCCCCTCTCCGCGCATTAGTGAGAAGTTCAGGAAGAGTCACCTCAAGCTTGTCCATTTTAAAATTCATAATGAACTATGAAAAGGAATTTAGGAGGGACTGAAGTACAAAATCCATATATAGGTTATTCTCTATGACCATTCCTAGCCCCGTGAGTTTTTCTATCCACTCAATCATTTTAAGGACATGGTTCTGAACCAATGTCCCCTTAGTCATCTTGGCACGGAATAGACTCTTGGATATCTCATATTGCTGAGTCCTTCCCTATTCCTGAAACAATTTGTGAAGATGTAGGAGAATAGATCTGGTATCTATCTTTTTATGCTACTTTTGTAACTCGAGAGTCATAGAGCCCAACATGTAACACTGAGCAAGAGTGGAGTCGTTTATGTACTTCACGTAGCGAGCGATCTCATTCTCACTTGCCCCTTCCTCGGATGTGAGCATTACTGTGTCAAGGACATACTCGATTTTCTCTGTTGTAAGAACGATTTTTAGGTTGCGAAGCCAATCCGTGTAGTTTGGACTAGTGAGGCGGTTGACATCAAGTATGCCGCGTAAGGGATTTAAAAACGATATTTTTCTGAAAAATAAAAATGCAATAGAAAAGTAAATAACATGTATATTTTGGATTTTGAAAAAATAATTAATATATTATCTTTTATCTTAATCTATTCCCACTATTTTTTTGCGAAACACATAACTCCCTCCGATATGTGAATTGAAAATCTACGGTAGATTTTTACTGGGGATTGAGATCCAATCGACGCCTTAGTATAACGTTGAGGGACTCAATCAATCACACAGCCCAAATGGTAGGTAACTCTTGCCAATCACAACTCCTTATGATTCTCATCCTATTCGACCTCTAAACCATCATGGCCTTAAGGGACTCGACCAACCATGATGCTTGGTTAAGTCAGCACTATCATTACAAGATGAGTCTGATTCGATGGTATGCCCTCGAGGGACTCAACCAAACATACTATGCCCTCAGGTCATCGGTGACATCTCAATGTTGTAAGCAAGATCTCAAATCCTAATATATATGAGCCTCGAGGGACTTAACCAACTCGGTCTACGTCAAAAAGTGATTTTCGCTTATAATGATGGAAGGTCACGTGGGTCAATCTTATTGCCTCACGTTTGCCGACTTAATATTATTTTAGAGGGGTTTTTGTAATTTGATTTAGTCTTGTGGTTAAATATGATGCGCTACACATATTTTTAACACACACACACACACACACACACACACACACACATATATATATATATATAGTAGGTGTAGAAATGTATATCACATATATGCACACACATCTATACTAGATGATTATGGACTAGAGCCTAAGTGATCAGGCCCGAGCCAAAGGCTTGATCACGAACAAAAAGATCAAAGTGTGTCTCAATGCATCTCAATGCTCGGTGATTGTGTCTCGTCCTCATCTGTCGTACCGACACCTCGGTACATCTCCATGCCCGACGATCGTCCGTTTCATCCTCCTGGTTCCCGTTAGCTTCTCCATGCTTTCGCCGCACCTTCTCATGCGATTACAACTTAATTACATGCACGTAGGTCCATAAATGTACATATTACATATAAGAAGCCTTGATCACATCAAAGGGAGGTATACCACTAAGGGAAATAGAATCACATGCCGGATATAATGAGAGAGAGAGGGAGGCTCACAGGCCCCAATAATAATAATCACATATACACTTCATCACATTACATGACCCATGATCATCTATCCACATCATACGTCATATGTACACAAATATGTAGGACTCTTTGGTAATAATTAATTAAATTAATTAATTAATTATATATATGGTTTAACTTTTAAACCTAGTTGAGACCCCTGCCATATCCTCATGGCAAGATGCCCCTTACGGCTAGGAAACCTTAGTCGCCAGGGTTACCCCTGCGTCCTGGAGTCCCTAGCCACAGGGCTGCCTTCGACAGCTAGGAAGCCCTAGCTACCAAGGTTGCCCTAGTAGCCAGGACTCTCTAAGTGTAGGGCTGCCTTGGGTAGCCAAAAAACCTAGTAAAGTAGTTGTCCCTACAGCTAGGAATCCCTGGCTGCAGGATTACCACAAGTGGCTAGGAAACCCTAGTCGCCAGGGTTCCCCATGCGGCCAGGAGTCCTGGCCGCCATGGTTGTCTTTGGCCAAGTAGTCCTCGGCCAGGGCAAGAGCAGCAAGGGCTGCTCTTGGCCATAGCAGCTTTGGCCAGGCCGAGAGCAGCCCTTGGCCAAATTTGTAGGGTAGCAACTTTTGCTTCCCTTTTTTGCCTTGGCATATAAGATATCTAGAGGTTCTTGGGTGATAGAATAGTTTGTACGCCAAAGATTACGTTGTTCCAATCTCAAATCGGCAAAACCGTAACTTGTTTACCAAACACCAATTCAGCACAACATGCAACAACTCATACAGTTTATAACCAATCGTCACACGAACAACCTGGCTCTGATACCACTGTTGGGAAACCGGGAGAGCATCACACGCGCAGCGGAAAAACAAAACAGAAATCAGTTTCCCAAAAACAGATTTATAACAAATCGCGTGCGACGATTGAGAGTGAAGAACTCGTTAAATTGAAAACTATGTAAGACGTGAGATCTCGCATGAAGGAGATCTGCAGATCTGATAGAACCCCAGAGGAATTCTATGTAGATTGATCTTCGAGGGAGATCACTCCTTGGAACGCTATAGAGGAATTGTAGAGAGATCTTATTCACAAAGAGATGGAAGCTACATGCTTATATAGGGCTCCAAACCCTAGCCCTAGGGGCTGTTTCCTAAGTGAGTTTCCTCTTTTGCCCTTAACCCAAACCAACCAACCCAGTAAAAGGGGGGCGGCGGTTAGGAAGCCCAAAGGCCCAAATATAAACCCTAGGCACTCTTCTTTAAAGGATAGAGGCGGCTAGGTGGGGTTTATTACAATCTCACAGGGTTTTATTAGCTGCTTCTTGGTTGAGTAGGACCCAACCCTACTAGAGTCCTATCAAGTCCGCCCTCTCCAAATCAGCCTTTTCCTCAAGGTTGAGGTTCCATGAACTTAGGGAACCGGGTCTTCAGTTCCTTATGTGATTCCCATGTGGCGTCTTCAAGTGGTAAATTATTCTAATGCATTAGTACTTCAGTAGAGGGATGTCGGCGACGCATCACGATTCTACGATGTTGGGCAATTGGATCTGGGGTGACTCATGTTCTCCCAACTTGGGCTTCAGGCATGACACGTGGAAGACTGTGAATTTTGGCATCCTCTGGCAATTTAAGTTTGTACGCCACGACTCCAATACGCTCTGTGATCAGATAGAGTCCATAAAAACGTGGGGATAGCTTCATGGAGGCTCGTGTGTTGATGGAGAGTTGCTTATATAGCTGTAGGCGAAGATAAACCCAATCTTCTACGAAAAATTCTCTTTCGCTTCGTCGTGTGTCGGCTTGCTGCTTCATTTTGGCTTGAGCGGTAGAGAGATTATCCTTAAGCAGTTGTAGGAGTTTGTCCCAGTCAATCAATTCTTGGTCGACCTGTTCTACCTTGGCCGAGCCAATTATATGCTCTGGAATCACAGGAGCCGGTCGACCATACAGTGCTTCATAAGGGGCACATTTTGTAAATGAATGATATGTAGTATTATACCTAATTCAGCCCAGGGAAGCCATTTCGCCCACTCCTTTAGCCGGTCACTAGCGAAACACCGAAGGTACGTCTCTAAACACCTGTTCACCACCTCTGTTTGGCCATCAGTTTGTCGATGATATAGTGTGCTCATCTTGAGTTTGGTGCCATGTAACTGAAATAACTCGGTCCAAAATTTACTGGTGAAGATCCTGTCACGATCACTTACAATGAACCTTGCATCACATGCAGTTTAATAATATTATCCATGAAAATCTCGGCAATGCTAGTAGTAGTGTAGGGATTTCGCACAACACAAAAATGAGCAAATTTCGTAAGTCGATCAACCACTACGAGAATTGTGCTTTTTTTCTTTGGAAGGTGGCAGCCCTTCGATGAAGTCCATGGAGATGTCAGTCCACACTGAGTCTGGTATGGGTAGTGGTTGTAGCTTCCCTGGACTTGCCACTGTTTCACCTTTGTGCTGTTGACATACATCACATTGTGCCACATATTCAGAAATAATTTTTTTCATCCCTCTCCAATAAAAATTTTGCTTGACTCTTTTGTAGGTTCTCAGGAATCCGGAGTGCCTTGCTGAAGGTGTGGAGTGCATTTCATGCAAGATGATTTTGCTGCAAGGGGAGTCAGGTATAAGCACAATGCGACCTTTGTAGCCTAGATCCCTTGAATCCCAAGTATAGTGGGCTATTGCACTTGGATCTTCTTCCAATTTTTTTATGATGTTGCTGATCTCTGGATCTTTCTTCCATTCTTCCCTAATGTTCTTGAGGAAGCCGGTGGTAGGAAGGGAGATGGCTGAAAATTTAGCTTGCTTAGGTAGTCGTGAGAGTGCATCTGCAATAACATTTTCTTTCCCCTTTTTGTAAATAATTTCATAATCAAATCCTAGAAGTTTGGTTACCCATTTTTGCTGCTCAGGGGATGATATCTTCTGCTCCAAAAAGTACTTGAGGCTTCTATGGTCGGTTTTAATTTGAAATCGTCGGCCGATCAGGTAGGGTCTCCACCCCATTACTGCGTGCACAATGACGAGTATCTCTTTATCATATATTGACATGTTTTGATGGGAGGGAGACAATGCCTTGTTGGTGTATGCGAGTAGTCGACCATCTTGCATGAGAACGACTCTATTTCCGACTCCAAATGCGTCGGCCTTAATGATGAAGGGTTGGCTGAAATCTGATAGCGCTAGCACTGGCGTCGTCGTCATGGCTACTTTAAGTTTGTCGAAGGCAGCGGAGACTTTGTCCGACTATTGGAAGACGTCTTTTTTCAGTAAAGAAGTGAGGGGTGCACTGATCTTCCCATAGTCCTTGACAAATTTTCGGTAATAGCCCGTTAGTCCAAGGAACCCGCGCAGTAATTTCACGTTTGTAGGTTTTGGCCAGCCTTGCATTGCTTCAATTTTTGTTGGGTCTACCGCCACTCTTTCTGATATTATGTGCCCAAGGTACTCTACGTTTTGCTAGAGAAAACTGTACTTTGGCGTCTTAACAAAAAGAGTATTCTCTCGAAGGATCGTCAAAACAACCTGTAAATGCTGAAAGTGAGTCTCAAGAGAATGGCTGTAAATGAGAATATCATCGAAAAATACAAGCACAAATTTGTGAAGAAATCTCCGAAAAATATCATTCATAAGACTTTGGAAGGTTGAAGGAGCATTAGTGAGTCCAAAAGGCATTACCAAGAATTCATAATATGGTCGTTATGTCTGTGAAATGCAGTTTTTGGAATGTCGTATTCATATACCCGAATTTGGTGGTAACCGGATCGGAGGTCCAACTTCGCGAAGACTCGAGCTCCTTTTAACTCATCAAGAAGTTCATCCACCACTGGTATTGGGTACTTGTCCTTGACGATGATGCCATTTAAAGAACGGTAGTCGATGCACATCCGCCAAGTTCCGTCCTTTTTGCGTATAAGTAGCACCGGTGAGGAATAAGGGCTGCAACTTGGTCGAATCACCCCTGTTTCAAGCATCTCCTTTACAATCTTTCAATTTCATCCTTCTAGAGATGAGGATAACGGTACGGCCGAGTGTTCGCTGGTGGTTTGCCCGGAAGGATTGGAATCCGATGGTCATTTTGTCGAGTAGGAGGAAGACCGCACGACTTAGCAAAAATGTCGGCAAATTCGACAAGCAATTGGGCGAGATTTTGACATTCAATTTCTATTTTCTTCCCCTCTGGTTGCTGCTGGAGATGCATAAAAAAATCACCATTTACCTTGTATAAAACTTTCTCCATTCGTTTGGTCAAAACGGTGGTTACGTTGCATCCACGCTTCCTGGGTAGGATGATATGTTTGCCTTTGCAATAGAATTTCATAATTAACTTGGAAAAGTTCCAAGAGACATCACCTAGCGTAGTCAGCCATTCTATGCCAAGCACGGCCTCATAGTTATCAATTGGTAGGAGGAAGAAGTCGGTGATAATTTCTTGGTCCTGCAGTAATAGTTTCACCTGCGGGCATCTTTGGTCGCACTTTAGGATTCTACCGTTGGCGACCTTTACATCGAACTTGCTGCAACCTTCGATATGGAGCGCCATCCGAGCAATAACCTTACTGTTTAAGAAGTTATTAGTGCTGCCCGTGTCGATGAGAATAGTGATCGGTTGTTGTTTGAGAAGGCCTCCACCTTTCATCGTTTGCGGGTTTGAGTAGCCGGCTAGCGCATGTACCATAAAGTCGGTCGGTTGTGGCTCTTCTTCCGTATCTTCTTCTTCATGTTCAAAGCTCTCTTTTGGATGTTCAATGACCTCGTCTTCTACTGGTTCAATCACAAGAAGTCTCCTTTTTGTACAGCGATGCTCGTGGCTCTATGGCTTGTCGCAATGCTAACATAACCCCTTCGCAAATCGCTCCCGAAGAGGTTCAATGGTTCAATCGCTCCGGGCTTCATGGAGCGACCCTAGTCCTCCGGGCTTCATGGTTCAATCGCTCCTCTTGAAGTCGTGCAAAAGAGATGGCTGCCATAAGTGTGTTCGGTTGTCGCGCTTTAACTTCTCCCCGGATCTCCGACTTCAAGCCCTCAATGAAGGTCCCCAATAGCTGTTTTTCAGACCAATCACGAGTTTGATTAGATAACCTTTCAAACTTGGTTTGGTACTCCTGAATGGTAGAGGTTTGTCGGATCTTTGCTAGTTGTCCGTCAATGTTCTTGTAATCGGTTGGTCCAAAGCGGATCAACAGTCTTTCTTTGAATTGTCACAATGAGAGGACTCCATGAGCGTGTTCAAACCAGTCAAACCACTATATGGCATCCCCTTCAAGATGTATTGCTGCAATTTCTACCATAGATGCATTCGCGGTTTTGTGGTACCGAAAATAACGCTCCACCCGCGAGATCCAATCAATCGGGTCTCCTTCTTCCCATCTAGGGAAGTCCACCCTCATGTGTGGATAGTGGAGATCGGTCAGAGAGCCTCCCCTCTCTTGGAAGTTATCTCTTCGGGCTTGGTGTGATTGGTTAGAGCTCTCCCCTTGATGTGATTTCTTCGGGCTTGGTGGTCGACCCAAATTAAGTCGGTAAAGAGAGTCTGAATCTTATCCTTCATTCGCGTCTCGAAGGCTTTAAATTTAGCATTGATTGCTTCTTCCGATGCTATAGTATACGCTTCCAAATCTGTAATGTTAAGATCTCTCTTTTGTTGTTGGGTTAAAGGCATGTATCGGTTGAGAGAAGTGGTGGTCGAAAGGGTTGGTGGATTGGTGGATGTAGGCTGCGGTTTTAGGCTTTTTTTTTTGGCTGTTTTGGGTGCAATTTGAGGGTGTGGTTTGGTGGAGTTTTAGGGCTGTGATGGTAGTGGATGAAGGTTAGGAAAAAAGTTTTAGATCTGTGGTAGATGGCAGCAAAGGTTTGATAGAAATCAGTGGAAGTTGCTGCAGATAGGTGTTGTCTTGTATGAGCAGAATTATCGTCGAAGAAACACCGGTTTCTCGATGAAATTTCTAACAAAATATGAGAGATTTGAGGAGGGAATTTGATAGCAAAATCTCAGTTTAGATAACAGTAATGATGACAAATTTAATCAAGAAAATTTCGGCAGTATAACAACAAGGAGATTGGTGCAAGTTGCGATAGTAGAATTCTCGTCGAAAAATTCTAGCGGTTTGCAACGAAAATTTGTAGCAAAACAAGAACGGTTTTAGAGATGAATTCCTTAATATATCAATCTTAGATGGAAGCCAAGAAGATCTATGAAGCGTATAAGAAATTTCGTTCAAGAAGGAAAGCAAATAGATCGGTTAAAAGCAACAATATACGGCTGAAATTTTCTGCAGCAATCCTTCGTTCGCAAAGATGATAACTTTTACGACGAAAGGAGTTCGCAGCATGGGATAGATAAAAATACTTCTTCTTGGTATTTTGAATAGAAAATTATAGCAGCAAAAGGTATTGGTGATAGGAGAATACTAGATCTCTGATACAATTGGAGGTGACAACAATAGATTGAGTAGATCTACGCTAGAAGATGACGGTCAAGATGGCAACATCAAGAGTAATTGTGGGAATTGCTTGGCTGGCGGTGGGCGGTAGAGGTGGTAGCAAAAGCAGCAAGATCACTACTTTGATACCAGATAGAACCCTAGAAGAATTCTATATAGATTGATCTTTGAGGGAGATCACTCCTTGGAACGCTATAGGGGTTCCACCTTCTTAGAAGTCGGCTAAATGGCTGCAATTGTACATAGATCTTATTCCCAAAGAGATGGAAGCTATATACTTATATAGGGCTCCAAACCCTAGCCTTAGGGGCTGCTTCCTAAGTGAATTACCCCTTTTGCCCATAACCATAACCAACCAACCCAGTAAAAGGGGGTGGCGGTTAGGAAGCCCAAAGGCCCAAATATAAACCCTAGCCACTCTTCTTTATAGGATAGAGGCGGCTAGGTGAGGTTTATTACAATCTCACAGGGTTTTATTAGCTGCTTCTTGGTTGAGTAGGACCCAACCCTGCTAGGGTCCTATCAGGATCCTAGTCCGTGGATGAAGGAGATCTCGCATTCTCCTATCTAGCGGTGATCCACACGGCGGATGAAGCGACAACGTACTTCCTCTTGCGACGTGTTCTTTTCTCGCTTTCGCGCACCACTATCACGCAGTAGGGTAAATCCTTCTTGTTGCCCTCTCACACCAAACAGGGGGTAGCCCTATTGCTAACCCTAATGGATCCTGCCCTATTGGGTATTGGATCTCCATCCAATTACCCTAACATATTGGATACTTGATCTCCATCCAATTAGCTATAGCTTAATGAAAATTGGATCTCTATTCAAGTTTTCACTCTAAGCTCTTCTTGGGTCCCGCCCAACGGATCCAATAAAATAGGGACTTATTGGATATCACATATCTAATCTTTTATTTGTCGCATCATCTACCATATGTGTGTGACCTTTTAGGCCTAATATCGAGCTGGTCATGAGTTGTACCTGTCAGAACTCCTTCTGACACAATGAATTATTATCCCATAATAATTCACTCAACTCATCGACTATGGACGTATTAAGCCACTACATCATAGTCCCCAAACGGTATAGGGGGATTTAATCCATTGGACATGTCTACTCTTAGTTACTGTGCATTTATAGTCCCTTATCCATCTAAAATCTCAGAGACTGTATA